CTTAAACGTTCGGGATCCAAACCGAGATCTACGTCATGAGCTCAGCTCACTCTGATAAACTGTGAGGGGTACATTTGGGCCTAGATATGAGAGAATACATCTATGTAGTATGTGTGCACCACATAAAACAGATCCTGCAGCACACTGTGTATAATGAGAGAAAAAAAAACTAAATCATGTTTTTTTCGATTAAAACTGCGAATTTGCAGTGGTTTTTCGTATTTTTTTTTATAGTTGTATTTGCGATTTTTTGGGTCTCATTTGATAGAATGTAAGACATATAACAGAAATAGAATGATTTGATTGGTTTTAGCCCCGGGAAATGGCTTGAAACGAGCTCAAAGTACAAAATTTAAATTTTTGCCGATATCAAAGTAAACAAACACCTCACACGCTAATACACCAGCTGTGATCTAATATGCAATCCAAATATGTAAATGATATTTAAACAATTATTAAAAGAAATTTGCAATAACAGAAAATCTTCTATTTTTTGGTGTGAAAAAAATTCATTATGTGAAATTAAAAATCAAAATGGAATTTATTTGTAGACCCTTTAAAAACGTAACTAATGAACAAGAAATGTTATTAGTTCCAGAATTTACCTACATTGTTTATTCGGGACCCTATTTTGAAAATTGGAATATTTCTGAACTTTGTGTTAAATTGGCCAAAATTAAAAATTTTCCGATCACTTTAATTTGTATGAAACAGCTGATTTAAAGCGATACTTGTGCTCAATCGTAGAATAGAATAATACTAGTGAAAGCTAGAATTTTGGTTACTGGAATAATGTAATTGGCCTAAAAGGGGAAATCAAAGTCAGCAAAATCGCCGATTCGTAATACGCTGACACATCAAAATTCGCAGAGCATAATTTCGTCAATTTTCCATCAAATTTCGTACTTTTTTGTTTTTTTTAAACCTTCACAAAAGATTCTCTACCATTTCATCAAAAAAATAACAAATTTTTTTTTTTTAAAATTCTGGACACGGGGGCACCACTTCAGATTTGGGCCTTGGACCCTGAGGAGTTAAACGGCCCAAACAGATCGACGTTCAAATTCGTAGTGCTCCAAAAGTAAAATCTACTTTTTTTACATATTTTCAAATAAAAAAAAAAATGTAGATAAAAAATTTTTTTACATGTTTTCAAATGTAAAACAAAAAAGAAAATCTACATTTTTTTTTACATACTTTCAGATGTTGAAAAAACGTATATATACGTTTGGACCATTAAGGGTTAAATTTGAGGACCCTAAGAACAAGTCCGGAAGGGCCGGGGGACCCTGAAAGGGTTAAGGCAATGTGTGGTGTAAATATTATGCAGAGAATTCATTGTCTGAAAATTAGGTGTGAAGTTACTAAAATTTTTAGTCAGGGGGCTGAAGACGGGTTGTTGAGGTGGTTTGGTCATTCAGAGAGAATGGAAAAAAGTAAATGGTTAGAGAGCGTATAAATCTGTATGGAAGGAAGGCAGGTAGGGGTCGTCCTAGGAAAGGTTTGAGGGAGGGGAAAAGGGAGGTTTTGTTGACGAGGGGCTTGGATTTCCAGCAAGTGTATATGAATGTGCCAGAAAGGAGTGAATGGAAACAAATGGTTTTTGGGACCTGACGAACTGTTGGAGTGTAGCAGGGTAAAATTTTGTGAAGGGATTCGGGGAAAACCGTTAGCTGGACTTGAGTCCTGGGGGTGGAAGTACAATCCCTGGACTTTAAAGGAGGGGATATTGGCTGTTTGGAGTGACATCAAAAACTGTTGTATCCAAGCGCATCTGCAAAGACAGTGATTATGAATGAATGATGTGAAAGTGCTGAGTGATGAAAGTTTTTTCTTCTTTAGGGTTTTATTTCTTTTTGGGTCACCCTGCCTCAGTGGGAAACAGCCGACTGTTAAAAAAAAAAAAAATCTCCATGGGAAAGTGAACAAATTCTTCCTCCATAAGCCATGCTTTGTCAAAAGGGGCAACTAAAATGCCAGAAGCAAGGGGCTAAAAACCCCTTCTCCTGTATTATTACTAAATTTAAAAAAAGAAACTTTGTTTTTCTTTTTGCCACCCTGCCTCAGTGGATATGCGGGTTTGTTGAAAGAAGAAAGGGAATATGTATTTCTAAGATTACAATATCCCACCCAAAAATGAGAAGCACTTTTAAATGTTATTCAATCACTGTCTTGCCAGAAGGGGGACTGACAAAACATAGTTTGGGTGACATCTGAAATACACACCCCTACCCCTACTTCAGAGTACAACACTAATTCTCACCTCCAGGACTTAGTGTTTGCCTGCTCACACCTCCAACAGCACGTCAATCATAAAAACCACTTGCCTCCATTCCTCCCTATCTAATATGCTCACACAAAACCCGTTGATGTCAAGTCCCTAGCACTCAAAACCTCATTTACTCCCTCCCTACAGACTTTCATTGTTCTCCATGAAGGTACATAAGATTACAGATAATGTTTTACAATGATAAAAATTTATTTTTTTTTTTTTTTTTATTATCACACCGGCCGATTCCCACCACGATAAAAATTTACATGGGAAAATTCCTAATTTTGCAGTACACTTGGGACAGATTAAGACTAAGTTAGACCTAATTTAAAATTACTTGACAACTGTTATGTGAATGATAACATTGGCATAACTAGTTTGTCTGAGGATAAGATTATTAATACAGTACTACAACAGTTGTTCTAGGTAACAAAACTAACTATTTACAACAACAATGTTAACATGAGAGGACAGTAACAAAGAGAATGTGAAAATTTGATAAGCAGTTCCTAATCAACAAGGCTGTACTCATACACTGGACTACATGTGGCCAGCATAACGCTTACCTTCCAGATGCCTGGGCTGGACCTGCCTGCAAGATGGTGACTCCTAAAACATCCTTCATGTAGAATATAGTTGAGACAAGAAGTGTATTAGTATGACTGCTCATTAGAATATGGATAGGCATATGAATTACTGAACATAAAATTCATTTTTTTTTTTTTTACAAAATTTTTTAAGCAATTGGCAGATAGGGAACTTTTAGATGCATGTAGTTTCAAAGCAAATCTAGTGAAACTCATGGCTGTAGCTTTCTAAGATGAGCTTTAGGATAGGGTTTGTATTCATGTTTAATGTCCTTCATAAATAGTTTTTCACAGTAACATGTAGATTTTTATATGCAAAGTGAAAATTTAACTTTTTAATAGAGGGGGTGTCAGGAACCCAACTGATTATCTAACAGAATTTTGTCAGTTACAATAAATTTTAGGTGATTTGCTGTTGTAAAGCCCCAAACACATACGCAATAAGTTAGGTTAGGATAGATTAAGAATGGTACAGAACAAGAAATGATGCTTGAGGTACATGATTATTCCAACTGTTTACAGATTTTCTTAATAATATCAAATTAAGCACAATGCAGGGAGGTATGTGAAAAAGAAGGAATGTGCAAAGGGTAGGAGGGAGAAAGGGGGTGGAGTGAGCAAGGGTAAAGGGCTAGCAGGCTAGGGAAGATACAAGATAAAAAAGCTTCATCAAAGTTGGTGCAGGGGGGTGGCTGAAGAATAGAGATGATCACCATAGTCCATTTAATAAGAATTAGGACAGAGGAAAAATGAAGAAGAATTCATCTACCTGCCGTTCAAGAATGATGGGCTAGAAATTTTGAGGAGGTCAGCAGCTATGACAAGCAACTTCTGGATGTTACGTGAGGTTGCCAGGACAGTCAGCAATCAAACAGAAGACCAAATAATTTGACCATAATTTTGCTCAGGATACAGGAACCATAAAGAGATACTAAGGTATGATGGATATGACATCTTGTGAAAGAAATCTGAAATGTTTAAGCAACAGAAAATTTAAACCCATGAGAGATGGCCATGTGGGAAGCACAATAAATAGCATTCTGGAGACAGGCCTCTATAAGGTCATAGTCACAACCTACAAAAGCTATGCAGAATTGTTGCCATAAGAGATTACCAAATATTTAAAAAGGGGGAACAAGGCAAAAGGGCATTACTAAATGTTTGTTAGCCAAGCATTCTAAAACTTATAAATTTGTTATTAAGTGTAATGATCTTTTAAACAAAGTGTCATAGCATGAAGTACCTGGCTTACCAAACAGATTAAAAGGCATAAAAGGACAAAATACTTTAAAGGTGCAAGTGCTGAAGCATATGGACAAAAAATGTCATCAGGCCCAGCTGCTGTTTGGTTGGCACCCCAAAAAGGTGTTGACACAAGTTCGTGAGCCTTGAAGGCATGTTTATAAAGTTGTTAATGTGAAGTTAAAACCCAGAGGTGCTGATGCAGTTCAAAGTGGACAAATATGAAGTCCTAAACCTTGGAATGAAAACAACCCTCATACTTATAAACTAAGTGATAAGAGATGAATTATATAAAATGTGAAAAAAAACTGGGAGTCATAGTAAGCAGAAATCTGAAGCCACAACACAGTACCTAAGTGTGCAAAATAAGGGTAACAGATTACTTGGGTTATATCAAGAAGTATGAGTAACAGGAGTTAAAAAATTATTTACAGCTCTATACATCACTAGTAAGGTCTCACATTATGCAGCTCAGTTTTGGTCTTCATACTACAGAATGGTTATAAATGCATTGGAGTGGAGAACATAGCAAAGGATGACAAAATTAATCTACTCCAAGGAATCCCCATATGAGGATAGATCAGAGCCTTGAAAGGAAGAGATCATACAGTACCTGAGGGAAAGGGAGGTAATCAGGTTTGATTCATGGATGGGGATGGTAGCTCAAATTTCCTTGGATCCCAAAAGCTCCTCACCAGCATCAAGGCATTTAAGGGATATGATTTAATTTTTGGGTGTGTAATGGAACAGTTTTTTTCAAAGATATTTTTGAGTGAGGGTGCTACTGAATATCTTTAATCAACTTCATAAAATACTTTTCAACAGCCAAGCTTAATGAGTTACCATTAGCCCCCCTGTACTGAACTGCTGCTCTCTGACAGTCAAGCTGAGAATCCTTGCTAACTCCTAGCTTCATAATATGGGGGGCCCTTTTCTATGCAGCTCCCTAACTTTTTGGCCAGGCTTTTCAGAACTGCAGTAGATTCAGTAAGGGTTGCTCGAAATAAGTTGTTAGCTTCCTGCAAAAATGAATAAAAGTAATAAATGATACACTTTATTTCTAAAAAGTATAATTTATAATTAATTCAGGAAAAGGTGATACTATTAAACAACTCACTGTAACATTTGTAGTGGTTTTCACATACATTAGTCAAATACAAATGTAAATCCTAACCTAAATTTCAGCATTACCATGCAGGACATACAATAACTAAAAATCCACAGAATGCCCCAGCATCTAAGGCAAAACTTAAGACTAAAATTATACAAAACTTAAATTTACTAATTCATAAAAAAACACACAATTTCGAAAATATAAAAAGTCTAGTTTAGCAGGTGAGTAGTACTAGTTTTTTTAAAGTACAATACAAAATATACTGAAATAATACATATATTGTATGTAGGTATAGGCGGTAGACAGCAAGCATTCGGGAGGTACTACCATCCAAACCCAAATGAATGTAAAAAGGAAGCCTGTGTTTGTTTTACATGATGGTAGGATTGCTGGTGTCTTTTTTGTGTTTTTTTACATGATGGGGAGGATTGCTGGTGCTTTTTTCTGTCTCATAAACATGCAAGATTTCAGGGACGTCTTGCTACTTCATTTCGCTTAGGTCACACTACATATACATGTACATGTTTATGTATACACACTCATCTGAGTTTTCTTTGATTTTATCTTAACCCTTTGAAGTCCGTGCCGTAGATCTACAGCTATATTTGAGGGTCCAAACCGTAATCTACGCCATGAGCTCAGCTCACTCTGATAAGCTGTGAGTGGCAAATTTTGGCCTAGATATGAAGAGAATATATCTATGTGGTATGTGTGCACCACATAAAACAAATCCTGCAGCACACAGTGCATAAGAGAAAAAACTGAGACCGTAATTTTTGATTAAAACAGCGACTTTGCAGTGTTTTTTTCATATGTTTTTTATACGTAGTTGTATTTGCATTTCTTGGTCTCATTTGATAGAATGGAAGATATATTACAGAAATAGGAGATGATTTTTATTGGTTTTAGTAATGGAAATGGTTGAAACTGAGCTCAAAATAACAAAATTTAAATTTTTTTCCGATGTTCAAGAGTAAACAAATGATCCTACACGTCTAAAAACACGCCACTGGTGGTCTAATATACATTCACAATTGGGTGATATTATTTATACAATTTTTTCCAGTATTGCAAAACAAAAAATCTTCTTTTTTTTGGTTTGAAAAAAAATTCTTTTATGTGAATAAAAAAAAAGGGAAACTTTAATTTTTTAAAGCCTGAAAACGTAACTAATGAACAAAAAAAAATTGTTATTTTAGTGCCAGGAATGCCGGGCATTGTTTTTTTCGGGACCCTTTTTTGAAATTAGTTTATTTAAAATTTTTTGCAAAAAAATTGGCAAAAAAAACCAATTTCCAATCTTTTTAATTTTGTATTTTTGAAACATTTGGGGTTTTTTGGGCGATTTCTTTTTGTTCAATCGATAGAATAGAAGTAATACAAATTTTAAAAAAGGTTTAAGGAATTTGGGCGGGGAAAATTAATATAATTGGCCTAAAAGGGGATTTCAAAGTCGGAAAATTTCGCTGAGGGGCCGTAAAAAACGCTGACACACAAAATTTGCAGAGCAAAAATTTTGTCAATTTTCCTTTCAAATTTCTTTAGTCTTTGTTTTATTCCCTTTCCGAAAATAATTCTTTCCCATTTAAAAAGAAAAAAATAAGAAAATTTTTTTTTAAAAAATTTTTTGGAAATGGTGCGCACTTTAAAATTTGGGCCCACGGGGCCCCTGGGGGTTTCTGATGTCTAGTACGGCTTACGCACCATGTTTTTGACGTACTAGAAACCACCTAAATTCTAGCGCCTTCAAATCTGCGAGAGAAAGTGGTAGACCTTTTTTATGAAAATTGGGTTATGGGGGTCATTGAAACGGGTTATAAAAAAAATCCTGCAGCACCCAGTGCGTAATAAAAAAAAAAATTTGACCATGTTTTTGGGGGTTTAAAACCCAGTGACTTTCCCACTGTTTTTTTTGAAATGGAAATTAAAGGTTTGCTTCTATTTTTTCCTTTGGCTCATTTTATAGAAGGGAAACATGGAAAAAAAGGTTTACAAAAGGTAGAGTTTGTTTTTGGTTTGGGTTTTCACAAAAAAAGGGCCCTTGAAATTGAGCTCAAAGTAGCGGGAAAATTTTCCCAATTTTGACAAAGTTAAAAAGGTAAACAAATTCATCCCACACTCCAATACACGTCAACGGGGGTCTAATATTTTTTTCACAATGCGCGGGAAAATTTTTATCCCATATCTACAAAAAGCAGTAGTCTGCAAAACCAGTAAATCTTCATTTTTTGTGAAAAATAAAAAATTAAAAAGGGTGGAAACCCAAAAGAAAGGGGGGGGGGGCCTAGGGACTTTGACAAAAGGAACAAAGAAAATGTTTTTTTTTAGGCCGGGAAAAGTCTGTCTTTTTTAATTTCTGGACCCTATTTGGAAATTGGCATTTTTTAAAAATTTGTGTAAAATTTGGGCAAAATTGCTAATTCCTGACCACTTTTAAACTGGATAGCTAAAATCGGAAAAAATGGGGGTTTTTGTATCTTCGATAGAGAAAATGGATTTCCCAAAGCAAAAAAAAAAAGCTATGATTTTTAAAAAACTAGTGCACGGAAAATTGGCCAAAAAATAGGGCTAAAAGGGAAGCGAAAATCACTAAAATGGTAAACATCGTCAAAAACCCCCAAAAACTTCGTGGAAATAATTCCGTAAGTTTTCCCCATAAAAATTTCATACTTTTATGTCTTTTAATATGGGGGAAAATATTCCCCCCTATCTTTTCAAAAAAAAAATTTTTTTTTTTTTTTAAAATTTTTGGCAACCGGGAAAAAAGTCTCGGAGAGGACCTGGGGGCCCTGAAGGGGTTAAAGGAGGGGTCTTAATATGACAGTTTGAAGGGACTTCTAAACTGTCATTTTTGAGCACCTCTGCAAAGGCAGTGATTATGTAAGGCGAGGGGAAAATGGGTGACTGAAGAAAAGTACAGTGGGACCCCCGGGTTAAAGAACTTTTTTCATTCCATATAAAGTTCAGGTGGGGAGTACCCGGGCCGAATTTTTTTCCCCTTTAAGGGAAAATTTTTTTAAATTGATTTTGTCCCTTTCAGACCCCCCAAAAATACAGTAGAAACGCACTTACTTAAAAAACACCCTTTTCATAATTGGGGCATTTGGAGGTGATCGTTGCGGGGGGCCATGTATTTTTTTTTGGGGGATTTTCTTTTTTATTTGGGTCACCCTGGGCCCCGGTGGGGGGGAAAAGCTGACTTTTTTAAAAAAAAAAAGTCTAATTTTAACAATTCATTGGGATCTGAAGGAAAGGGTGAAAAATGAACAGGGCAGTAAAAGGTGAAAAGAGGGAGGTTTCAGGATTTTTTTTGACATAGTATGTGGTGTCAAGATCACAATTTTAAAAAAAAGGCCAAATTTTAAAAAGACTTTTAAGTGGTTGGGGGGACAGAAAGGGACTTTTTGGAAACTTCAGGAAGAGTTTTCCCGATTTTAAGGGGCTTTAACCCTTTGACCCGTCAAAAAGGGCCCAAACCTGAAGTTTCCGGGTTTTCGCAAAAATTTGGAAAAAAAAAAAAATTATTTTTTCTTTGAAAAAGTTAAATTATTTTTTTCCCCGATTGGGTTTTTTTCAATCCCAAAAAAAAAATTTTTTTCCATAAATATTACCGAGATATAGAAATCCTGAAGTTTGCTGAAAATTTATCTTTTGATGGCAACACGGCGACTGCCCGTCACCCGGGAAACTTTTATTTACCTTTAATTTCAAATGGGTTTTTTTTCCCCGTTTTTTTTCATTTTTATTTTTCAATAACTTTTGTTTGGGTTTCGAGACCAAAAATTTTGTGCAATGTTCAAATACATGTTTTTAAAACTCGTTAAAGTAACACAAATTTTACAAAAAACACCTTTCCGTATCATTTTAATGTTGAAAAAACTTTTTTACAAAAACAATGTAAACAAATGTATTTTTTTACGATTGTTTTATAATTTTATTTTACATATTTACAATCACTGGACACTTTTTAGAAAATGCGGGAGCTTTTTTGGGGGGTTTCTTTGAAACATGGGTAAAAAAACAAAGGTGTCCCTTAAAACTCCGCACACATAAAAAAAGGGGTTCCCCCTTGCCCTTTTTTGGGGGGCGTTTTGGGTTTTTCCCCCAGACAAAACACCCCTTTTGGCATTTTTCTTTTGGCCCGAGTAGCAGGCAGTGGTAAGGGGGGGTGTCCCACCAGGGGGCCCCAGACGAGAGGGGCATTGTTTGGGGTAAATTTTGGGCGCTGGTTTTAAAATTTCAGGTGTTGTTTTCTTGGTACTTGGGAAAATTAACTTTTCTGATGACTGCAACAAAAAAATCAACAATTTGGGGTTTTTTCTTGTTTCAAAATTTTAAAAATATTTTAAGCATTCCCGCATGGAAAAAAGTCAAAAAAGATGGGAAAAAAAGTTTTTATGTTCCCACTTAAACTCTTTTGGGAAAACGTCAAACAAACCCTTTTGCATTTTAAAAATTTGTTTACAAGCGATTTTTGAAAGGGTTTTAACCCTTTACAGCTGGGTTTTACAATGGGTTTTTATTGGTCTCTCTATTTTTCTTGCCAAATTTTTTACCTTTTTGTGTCGGTGAACGGGTGTCAGAGTGTGACATCACTTTGTCGGCCAAACCCAAATTTCCAGGGTGTTTGGCCCCTAACACCGGGATTTACCTCTAAAGACTTTCCCGCATTTAACCTAGGGATTTTGTTTTTTCGATTTCCCCCGCACTGGCCCACACATCTGTCATTTCACTGGGAAGAAATCACTGAGTATAGGGGTTTTTGGGGACCCGTTGTCGTATATAAAAAATGCCCCCTTTCCAAGTTTTGGCCCCATATTGTTCTAAAACCCCATCCCCCCGGGATACCCAGAACTTTTGGTATCGTTCCCCCCTTTTTTCCGCCCGTGTTTTTCAAATTTTACC